CTTTCCCTTCTAAAGAAACCCTATGTATTTTGCAACCTTCAGGAAACATTGCCTTTTCCACTCGTTTGCTGTCCAATGGCGGTATTGCTTTGCTAACTCTAAGCGGATTGTGTACGGAGACTCATAATTAGCCTGATCGTCTTTTTATGGTATCAGCAACTGGTGCATTTGTATTTTCTCTAAAAACCGTAACACGAATCGTATTTTCCGTCACACGGAGGGCCACTCTCGGACACTTCCTTTTTCTAGGAATTTGTCGTTTTATTTTTGTTGAAATGTTCAATGGTCTAGTGACCTAATTGCAAGTCTTGCGATTATTAATTTTTTTCACTAAAATTATTAAATTCTGTGGTAAAAATTAAATGATCAACCGTGCTACTCACTTTCGCATAAAAACCTTAAGTATTTAAGGATAATGGAATTTAATAAAAAAAATTTAGATAGATTTAGATTTGAGGATACTTTCACTGAAGAGTATTTCAAGTAAAATTCCATTTTTCGCCATACGAACGAACAGGTCAAAGAATTTTGAGGGATAAGTCATTTTAATTAGTGGCATTCATTACTTACTTCATACGCACTCGTATATAAATTGGTAAGTAAAAAGTTCTTTCGGTTTTTTTTTTATTGATTTTTCAAAATATGATAACTTTGGGTACATTTGTCCGATTAAAATCAAATATGCGCCGTTTTGTTCGTAAACTTGTTGCCAACGAGATGCGAACTTCATTATACCCCTTTCGTAGAAGGCTGCGTCCCTATTGGCAAAAAAATCAGAGAGCCAATTTTCACAGGCCTCTCTTGAGGTCAACTTCTCACCATTAAGCGCCATGGCCAAGAAAAGATGTTAATCACTTGGTGCCAGGTCCGGACTATAAGGTCGGTGCATTATGACCTCCCATCTGAGCTCCTAAAGCTTCCGTCGCGTCACCAAAGACGTGTGTGGCCTGGCGTTGTCCTGATGGAACACGATTCGGCCTCTCTTAGTCAAAGATGGCCCTTACTGGATGAGTGCTCCCTTCAAGCAGTCCACTTGTTGGCACTAGACACACAGCAAAACGTTCCTAGTCGTTAAACGGTTTTCTAGCTTAGCTTTAGCTCCTCAGCAATTAAATAAGAGCTCACGTGACGGTCTGTGTCCACTATTTCTATGATTTTATCGCAATTTTCGACGACAGGCCTTCCGACGCGTGGTGAATCTTTGACATCGCTTTGGCTGCTTTTTCGCCTTGATAGAAGAAAAATTGCAAATCTAGCGAATTTTCTCTTTGCTGGTGTCCATCTTTGACAAGAGCTCACACCGTACTGAGTCAATTAATTAAAAAACTGTCAAAGACAAACTTTTAGTGCACATAAACACGTTTTCAGCGTCATATGGTATGGCATGATGCGACACTCAACGCTAGTACTATGAACAATAACGCCATCTCCTAGATAAAAACCGAACCAACTTTTTACTTGACCATATAAAGAAATATATTTCCTAGTCGAAATTGCCAAAATTATCAGTTTTTCCGAGTTAGCTTTAAGCGAAAAACTTCACACTATTCCCGAAGGTTTCGAAAGAGTTTTTGGTTAGGAAAATTCAATTTTGCCAAAGTCGTTAGTTTTTTTCCCCACAGGTGTGGTTAACTTGGAATTTATTGTAGTTAAATCAAAAAAGAACAAACAACTTTTATCGTTAATTTTTTTTCGTATTTATTCAGCATAATTTGTATTTACTTTTAATTGATTTGTTATAATACAATAATAATTTTAAATAATATTTTTTTATTTATTTATTTTTCTCTTTATAAATACAATTAACAGCCTTATTATTAGCGTTCGTACATATTTACTTTTATTTATAGATTTCTGTTTGCTTACTATTGTATTTTTTCGGTTGCCCAAAAAGGTGGAGGGTTTTAGGGGGGTCGCACGATTTAAATTACAATTTACACAATTGTAGCTGCGTGTATGCGAGTCACTACATACGTACATACGAACGTCATTCGGTTGAGTGTAAGGTCTTTCGTAAATTTCTAGTTTGCGTGCAACGCTGGCGTTTCGTATGTTTATTTTTTCTTTTGTTTTTTTTTTTTTTTTTTTTTTTTTTTTTTTTTTTTTTTTTTTTTTTTTTTTTTTTTTTTTTTTTTTTTTTTTTTTTTTGTTTATTTACCTTTGCTTAGTTAATTTATATGTATATTTATAATAAATTACTTTTTGTTTTGCATGTTGCATGATTGATTTTGGTGCAACGTGTCACGAGCGTCCTAAACTATTAGCAGCGAATTTTTATTTTTTTTTTCAGAAATAATAGTTTTTTTTTTTTAATTTTTATGAACTTTTTCTGTTCGTTTAGTATTCGCATTGTGGTGGTGTGGGTGTACGTTTATGTGCTTCTTTTTTTGTTTGCAACAAAACGTTTCCTCAATTTTATAATTATATGTATATTTATTTGATATTTAAATGCCCTCATTTTGGCAGTTTTCGCTTGCTTTTCATATATTTTTTTTTGCATTCCCCTAATTAATTTCATATTAATTTTGCTTTAGGTATCTATATAATTTATGTTTATATTTTATTTTTTTTATTTATTTATTACTTACTAATATATATTTTTTTAATTATATTTTTTTTATTTATATAACTCTTAATTTAATTGCATAGTATTTTGCTTATCAGCATCTCATAACTTCGGTTATGCTTGTATTAAATGCATTTAAACTATTTACATCCTGCTATATACTTAAAAATATTTTCGTTATCCTTTTTTATTCACAGTTCAAAGTTGCCTATGTATGGTTAGCATTAAGGTGCATAGTGGCATTGAGTAATGAGCGGCTGAGATATTCAAATCGAAGAGCTTAAGGTTTAAATGTGAAAAGTTGAGAAAACTATGAGTGTTCTCTCTCTTCGCTTAGAGAAACAAGGTTCTCTGGCGACTTTTACTGACTTACGCTAGACTTGCTGCCTCACTTTTTCGAATCACCGAAATAAAAGTACATCAAAATACCCGGATATGTAGTAAGCTGGAAGTTATTCACCATGGTAGGAAAATAGGCAACGTTGTGCACGTTTTGGCAGCGTTTTTTGAGCATCTTAGAGTGCGTGTAGAATTCTAGTACCAGAAAAAGAGCATGATCACTTTTGTATTTATATTGAAATCCGAGAGTTTAGAAATGAAATTGTGGTTTCTTGTTCTACTCTTCAGATGCGATAGAGGTATGAACAGTTAGTGCATTTTTGCTTTATAAATATCTCAGAAGTAGAACCTTACCTATTTTCAATATGCTTTGCATTATCAGATTCTAGCCTATTGGATACATACACATATATTTTTATTATAATAGCGCTTCGCGTTCTTCGAAGTATTTCAAATTTGATTTTTTTTCTTATATAGATAAAAAAAATTCCTAATTTTATCCTGCTGGCTCTATAACTTTTTCCTTTTAATTTAATATTATTTCTTTGTTTGAATTCTATTACCAATACCTTAGCATTTTACGGACCTTCAGTAGGTATACTATATGTAGCATGCAGATTATGACGACCTTCGAATTGTCGTACCGCTCGGCCACTCTTTTAGATTGTTTAATATTAGAAAAGTCTCTCAATAAGAAAATTAAAAAATTGAAATGAGAAAATACTCAAAGCAAGAGAAAAATTAGTGAAAAAAACCAGAACGTCAGAGTACGAAATAAGACTCTCGACCAAGCAAAAATAAAATATAATAACAACAAAAACAATAGAAATAAAAACGAAGGGAAACTCTTGGGCAACTTCAGTGAGTGTAAAGTGGAGCAATAAATATGGAGAAAAGTGTATAACATGTGAAAGCATCCACTATTATATGAGAAAAAAATATCTCATCGAGTACGCGGCAAAATTTGGCCTTTGGGATTCCGGTATGGTCGATGAGCTTCGAAAGCAGCTAGCGCATTTCGCATTTGAGACAAAAAACTACAAAAAAAGGCATTCCACTACTACCTCCGAAATCATTAGCAACCCTGAACCCAATCGCCACTCAGTACCAGCAATGTAAATTGAGTTTGTTCCAAGATATGTTGACTAGCCATAGACAGCTGGCGACTGCTAGGTTATGAAATGAGGAAGTGAGGGCTAGGCTTTGACCGCGCGACTGATCTTCTAGTGTTTCTCAAAAATTTAGAAAAGCTGGCCTATAGCTATAAAGTTGAATGCTTCGGAGCGGGTTTGAAACAACAACAAACGATGGAACAACATGCATGCTTTATGAAGTTGTTTTTGTCTTCTGGTTCTTTTGAGAAGCTTGGTGATCAAATCGTTTGAAGAGTGCAGTGAACCCACGAAAGCTTCAAATATTATGTTCTAGAACTACGGAACCTTTTGAATTATGCGGGCATCACACAGGTGCAAAAACTCGATCGAATATATAAAAAGAGCGGCAAAAAGTAACGGTTGTATATGCATTAAGCTCCAAGAGTAACATTTGTTGAACTGGTTAGCTTTGCCGATGACTGTAAAAATTACAGGAAAAAGATATAATCACTGAGATACGCCGCTCGAAAAGGTTTGCGATAACCTACTCCTCTAACTTTAGAACCTATGCAAAGAAGAACGGCTATTTTAAATACCAGAGCGAGCTCTAGTTCAATTTAAGTTTTTAAATGATCTTCGTATACGGCGAGCGGACCTCAGCTAGAATCCTTGGACGACTACTTTTGTCTTTGCGTTCATATGTTCGACCTCCAGAAAGGGTTCTCTTCTAGAGCGTTTTCAACAGGAAACATCGAGCACCCGTTGGCCCACTTTACCAGCTACTACAAGCCTTGCTGTCTTAGGTTTTAAGGATGCCGGCATTCACCAAACCAACGATTTTGCTAACTCGGTGCCTAACGCCAGCAGGTTCTGTAGAAAGCTGAGCTTAATTTGTTTAATTTTATATGTTAGAGTTTTAAAATATTCTATAAAAAGTATTGTTCCGAAAATCAGGAGTTTTAATTAGCAAAATTTTCGAAAGAAAATTGTTTAAATTCGGATAAAATAAAGAAATAAAAAACTTTCCCTAAAAAAAAAAAGGTTTGAAACGACACATAAATAGGTTGTTAATTGTAATTGAGTTTATAAAATACAATCAAAGAAGGAGCTCAAGGACATACCAAATAATGACCTATTTCGAGGAGAGGAAGAAAGACCTAGAACAAGTGCTTTGTAAATTGAGGGGAGACCACTTTGAAGGGAGACCGACTCATTTATCGTTTAACAAATGGAAACTGTTTTTTTCCTTAATTTCCTGCCTTTTTCAGGGGTTAGGATCGTAGAAAAATTTGAAGTCGTCGATTATTTCAAATAATTGTGTACTTTTGTGTCACTTAAATATTAATATGAATCACCTTTTTTCTTACCAATTTTCCGCATGTTTCACTTATGCACCAAAACGCGATTAACTAATCGCGACTAATCTTCAATTAATCTCCACCACAAAAAATCATTTTATTTTATTTTATCTAAAAGCCCAACTTATAGTTATCTCTTTCGCTTAACCGCTTCGTCTCTCCATCTCTCTTCGTACTTTATTACGATCCCGCCTCTCATACTTAGCGCACGTAGAGCGTTAATAACTCGCATTAGTGTGTACCTACAATGTAATTAGGAAAGTAAGCGTTAGCGCTAACTACAGCTCTCACTACCGCGCACCACGTGAGATTAAAGCGAAACAGAGAGAATAAGGGCGCTAATGAACTTGCAAGCGCGCCATCTTACACTTTATCACTTACGCCGCCGAAGTTGCTGAAGTATATTGCGTTAGCAGCAGCTGCTGCTACAGCTTGACTCTGCTGTGATTGTGCGTGTGTGGGCGTGTCTTTCAGTTGGGCGGCGGGCATATTACTGTAATTACTACTACAACTACTGTTACCATTATTAGCACTACTCTTTTGCGGCGAGGCGCTATATGCGTTTAAGCTGCTTTCAAAGCTCTTTTGAGCGGCGCCAGCATTAACGGTACTACTACTATTATTAATACTACTACTGGTATTACTATTACTACTACTAATGCAGCTGGCATTGTTGCTGGCTTTCAAATTACTGGCATTATGACTTGCTGTTATCGACTGTTGTTGTTGTTGCTGTTGCTGTTGTGGCTTATCACCTTGTGTTAGCGATTGTTGCTGCTGCTGCTTATAGGATTGATATGCATCCGAGGAGACAGCTGTCCAGGAGCCATCCTTCGCTTTCACGTACAAATGCTGCTTGCTCGGCTGTTTGCTGCCGAAGCTGTGATTGTAATTCTGCTGGTTGTGGTGTGGGTGATTTGTTTGATGGTGCTGTTGTTGTTTTTGTTGTTGATTTTGCTGGTGGGTTGATTGTGTGAGGCTGTGCACGCTGGCATGTGTGCCGCTTGATTGTTGCTCCGCGGCCGCTGCACTGACGCTGGAAGCCCACTCATTGAGCAGTTGATTCGTTGATGTGCTAAGCGCGGCGCCAAAATCGCCGGCCGCATCGCTAGGGATATTTTTGGCGTGAACGCTACTTAGCGCTTCTTCGTCGGCGCCTGTAAGAAAGTCAAAATGCGCAGCGCTGCTGCTATTTGAGGCGGCGCTAAGTGTGAGCGCATTACCAGTACCAACGCCGCCAAGGTGGCTTATGAGCAATTGTGATTTATTATTGCTGGCACTGTCATTGCCGCCACTGCTGCCATATATATTGCCAAAGTTGATGTTATTCTCGCTTTTGAATATTTTTGGGTGACGTTGCCGACGCAATGTGCCAGCACCACCGCCGCTTACCATTTGCGCAGCCAATGTTGTGTTGGCAAAAGCACCGAGTCCTTGGCGTAATGCATTGCTGGCGGCAAATAGTTGTTGTTGTTGCTGCTGTTGTTGTTGCTTGTTAAAGTTGGCGCTAGCGCAACCGCCGGTGTTGAAAGGGTTTAAGCGTGGCATGAGCGCGTTACCAGTGGCGCCAACGCTATCACTACCCGCCGAGCTGGACGCTGTTGCGGCAGAAGAGGAGGTGGACGAGCCACTAGTGGGTGTGGGCGAAATGCGGCTCAGATTGCTCATGAGATCCAGTTTATTTTCGGTGATATTAATCTTCTGCTGACTGCCAGCACAGCTGCCGCCATAAAGACTCTTCGCGTCGGCCTTCTTATTACACGCGCTCTTCGCGGGTGATGCGCTCAATATAGCAGTAGATGCGGTGGAGGCGGTCATTTTGTCGTTGAATGGATTAGATGCAGCCAAATCGATGAGCCCCGCGTAGTGTGCGCTCGGTGGCGCTGAGTACATGCCAGTAGCGCGGTAATCATCATGTTTGCTATGCATGTGTGCTGGACTGTTGCCACTAACGCTGCTGTTGCTGTTATTATTATTGCTGCTAAATTGGCGCAATGCCTTGCTGTTAACTATGGACGCTGTTGCCGTTGATGTTGGCTGTGTTGCAGACGCCGACTTACCCGTTGTCGTTGTGCCATAACGATTCTGATAGAGTTTGGCATTTGCCACCAAATTCGTTGTGGCATACGCGCCGCAGCTATCATAGAGCGCCATTCCATTGTGTTGGCCAGAGAGGGCTGGCACATTACAGCCGCCACCACCACCAACACTAGAACCACCAGCATTGTTACCGTTACCGGATGTTTGCTGCAATATGGCATGTGCATTTCCGTTTGGCGTTACGTGTCCCAATGGGCCGTTTGGCGTTTTAAATGTTGAACATGCAACCTCGGCGTAATCGGGCATATTGAGCGGCGTCAGGCTAGTAATGAAGAGGGAAAGTAAAAAGAAAAAAGTTTTTAGTTAGAACTAAGTGCTTGGCGTATGGCGTATGGGGTGTGTTCTGGAAAAATAATGTGTCTATGTGTGAGAGTGTGCGTGAGTTTTTGTTTTCGTTATTTTTACTTCACTGCTATTTCCTGGCAAACGAGCGAACATTTTCATTAGAACGGAAGTGCAGGACCCATTCCCACATACAGACATATACACGTGCATACATAGTATATTTACTTGCGCTAAGCAAGCCATTTGGAAGGGAGAATATGCCAATCCGCGGCGCGCGGCACATATGTCACAATGCCACCGGACCGCACCACACCTCACACGCGACATATTGCAGCATTACGTTGCATGTTCGATTCGTGTGTAGCAGCAACTTCAATTGGTTTGTTGCATGTTGTTGCGGTATTTCGCGTCACTTTTTGCCACCTTCCGTCTATGCAACCCGCCCTCACTCCATTGTCCATTGCCGCATAAGGGACTCTGTCTGCAATGGCACTCTTGGCGCTTTTCACTTGCATTACACATTCGGTTGTGGTTTTGTTGCCGGAAATTGTTGTTGTTATTGTTTTTTTTTTATGACAAAATGATTGAGTATTTATGAGCGTTGTTTTTCATGCTGGACATGCACAAACTCAAACATACAAACATACATACATCCGAAATTGCATAAAAATATAAATTTACACATACATACATACAGAATGCACATAAATACCCTTATTTGAGATCAAAATAAACTTGTATGTGGAATTCTGTTTAACTGTTTCTAAAGCCACTGCTGGGTACGGCAGCTCGTTAGTATTACCGAACATGCACAAATACTTTCGCAGTGTGTACGAGTATGTGTGTGTATGTATGCTGTACTGCTGGTGTGGAGGCAGTTCAAGTAGTGAAGTCTACTTATACATACAATACTTACTTCACACGACAACAAGCGGAAACGGAAAACGACTGTTGGGGCTAAGAAGCAAAATAAATCGCGTTAAATCAAGATATTAAATAAAAGTAAATTCACACTAATTGAATTCCGAAATTATTTTCATACCAATGTACCTCTATATAGTACATATGTATGTAAGTACTGTCTTACTTGCACATTTCATACTTTCATTTAACTATGACAAAAAAGGAGAAAATGAATTTTTTAAGAGCAAATATTTTATACTTAACTTTTAAATCTAATTTGCCTTAATACATAATTTGTGCCTCGAAAAACGAGAAGTTATAAAAAGGAAATAATAAATATATTTTTTTAAAAATTCTTCTCTTTTAACAATTGTTTTCTCAACTTTTTATACGTTCAACTTGGTCACATAATCATATGCCGGACTTAATGTAATGTCCCACGGAAAAAGAGACTACTCATAAAACAAGAAATGTAAATATTTCTGCAAATCATAGTATCATTAGTAGTTCTAAGGCCCTTTTTCATTAGCACAAATTTTCTCTCGCGTAAAACGAGACTTCTAAAAAAAAATTATAATAATTTAGTCAAAAATTATTTTACACTCTGCCACTTCTATAAACCAATAATTGGTCATGGGAAAAAATTTTTTACAACTATCTGTACTTATTCAGTATAGCCATTGTTGCTCATAAAAACCAACAACAGTTTTGGATGGTAGAAGTGATAGTTGCTATTTCGGAAGCCACCTTGTTTTTTCATCAGACCAATATTATGATATAAGATGATAAAATAAAACAAAATAAAAAATTAATAAAATTATATAATATACACGAAAATTTTAATTAAATGTAAAAAAATTAAATTAAAAGCATTAAAAGAAAATAAAATAACATAAAATAAAAAAGAGTACTGAATAATATCATATAAAAAAAAATAAAGTAAAATCAATTGAAATTTTTAATTTAAATAAAATTAAGTAATATAAAATAAATTCAAATAAATTAAATCTAATGAAATAAATAAAAAAATTAACATAATTAAAAAAATATTAATTAAAATAAATTAATTTAATATAAAATAAAATTAATTAGAAAAAAGTAAGCAAAATAAAATCAAATAAAACTTAATTTAATTATATCAAATAAATAAAAAAAAAATAGAACAAAACAAAAAAACCAAATGTAATAAAATTAATTAAAATTAAAAAAAAAAATAAAAAGAAAATAAATAGAAAATAAATCAGATAACTTTAAAAAAGTTAAAATATAACTAAATTAAATAAATTTGAATAAAATTAAATAAAATAAAGAAAAAAGAAATGAAAAATAAAATAAAAAACAAAATAAATAAAATTAAATAAAACTAAAAAAAAAATTATTTAAATAAAAAAATAGTATAAAAATAATGAAATACATAAAATTTAAATAAATTTAGATAATATTAAATAGACAAACAAATATATAAAACAAAATAAAATCAAATGAAATAGAAAAAAAAATACAATAAAAATAATAAAATCGAATGAAATGAAATGAAATAAAATAAAACCAAAGCGAAGTAAAACTAAAAATATAAAGTAGAAGCTAAAAGCATGGCGAATGCAAAAAATGGCATCACCCTGTATTAAAGACTTTTAGAAACACAATTTGGCTGTGGAAGTGTTTGGAGGGGTATGAAACCACAGGTGTATAGGGTGTATAGGGAGGATTGGTAATTTAAACAAAAATCTCAATGTTAATGGCTTTGATGGCAATAAATTTTAAGCGCGTCAGTGAAATGTTTCAAAAAGTAAAACAGATGTAATGAAATTTCCTCGTGAAAATATTTCTGATACACAGGAAATGAAGTCTATTTCAAGGCGGCAGGGGGAAGGTAATATATATGGTGGGTATATACAATTGCTTGGAATGGGGAGTGTTGTTAAACAATATGTACATAATAAAACAAATAAATGCGTAAAGCGGCCAAAACCTAATACAAATGGCGGAATTAAAAACAACAGCAAAAACAAAAATAAATAAATAAATGAATAAAAGTGCAACCATTGGGTATAAGCAACACGATAAGCCGAGTCGCGGTGGCTGTATTCCACTTGCCTTTGCTACATCAAATTTTAAGCAATAATAAAAAGGGATAAGCAATGAGGGAGGTGTACACAAAAAAAGGTGGGAGACAGAGTAGGAAGAAGTGGTGGACTTATGCGTTGTTAAGGGGCGCCGTTTGCGGATGTGACGTATACTAGTTGCTGCCCCAACCAATTCACAGCGCACTCATTAAGTTCCACAAGAGATGTGCCCGTCGTAGGGCAGGCACAAACAAGGAGGTAGAGGCAGACAAGACTCCTGATAGAACGGCGGGCGAAAAAAAAACACTGCCTGGCCGCCAGACAGTTTGATAGACATAACAACAGGCGTATTAACTGCGCGTTGGCTGGCAAAAGAGTGGGAGGCGCAAGCGAAATATTAAATTTGGCTTGTGCTTTTTTAGCGCCAACACCGTTGCTTTCATTGTTTTTGTAGTTTACAGGCAGTGGTTGTTGTTATAATCGTTTATTCATCGCTGACAATGCGTACACTCTGAGCATATGCTCGTCGATTTTCAAAACACGTGGCTGTCATTCCCTTTACACTTCGTTGTTATTAGGTTTTTCGCTTGTGTTGGTAGCGCGCATTTGCCAAACTTCCAGCTGCCGGCGTTTGAATACGTGCTTCTTCTTCTTATTCATTTGTTTTTTCTTTTCTTTTTATTATTTTCTAACTCGCCTACTTTTCGAAAATTTCGGCTCGCAAATGCACTCAAGTGTAACACTTTAATGGCTTAGCGCACAAGATTGGCTTCTAAGCCATTTGTTGTTGTTGTTCGACAGCCGCGGAGGTGGTTTTTAATTATATAAGGAGTGAAGGATTTTATTTACAAGCAGAGGGGTTGTTGAGGGCTAGAGTGCATAATGGCAGGTTAAATGGCAAAATAATTCGTAAGGACTATTGGCTTCATTGCATAATGTTGGATAGCGACGAAATGTATTGAGCAAAATAGGTGTGCACAAAGAACATCTCAACCATAAGGGGTATTTTCCGGGAAATGTTTATGGAATTTAAAACCAAAAGTAGACCCAGAGAAACAAAAAAGGTAAAACGATTTTTTATTGCTAAAGTCCAGGTCTTTCTCCACGCTAATGTGTTGAAAGTTTATTTGTTAACAAGATCCGTAATAGCCGAGTGCTTAGCATACGGTAGGCCATTGTTTAAGCTTTGATCTGACATAAGATACATTTAAAATTTCGATGACGGTAGTTCCTTGGCAAGAAAAATCGAGGACTCAAAGTGTATTTCTAATGCGCCAAGGAGCCGACTGTTTAGCTTTGCATTGCTACTGCTATTTGGAAGGCTCGGATTCTAGTTCTGGTGTAGTACTAGCATCCAAAAATTTATGGAAAATTAATTTAAATAATAAATTAAGATAAATTTTCTAATTGCGGTCGCTCCTCAGCGGGGAATGTCCACTCCTCCGAGTGTATTTCGGACATGAAATAAAGGCTTCTCGTAAAACAAAAACCATCAGCCGTTCGGAGGCGGCTTAGTACAAACTGTAGGTCCCTTCATTTCTTGGAAAAATATCAAGACGGAAAATCCACAAATCCCGACCGAAATTCGCTTATGCGGTTACAAAGCGCCAAGTATACATATTATATTAGGTGTAGTAAAAACAAATTCATTATTTTTGCATGAAATTGAAGGGCTTAGCTCAAACACGCGCGGTTTGGCTCAATAGCTTGTTGCCATTTTAAAGGTAATTTTGTTATGGATCTATCGCAGCAGCCCAGGTTCCTATTAACAAAAAATGGAGACAGTCAATTTTCACAAGCCTTGCTTGATGCGTACTTTTCACCGGGAAATTTGCTCGCTATGATCAGGAACCGATGGCGACTACTGAGTACCATATCCGGACCATAAGTTGGATGCATTGGAACCTCCCAACCAAGCTCTCGGAGCTTATGTCGAGTCAATATCGATGTTTGTGGCCTGGCGTTATCATGATGAAACACCATTTCTCTCCTATTGGCTACAGCTGGTCGCTTCTAGGCGACTGTTGCCTTCAGACGGTTCAATTGTGGAGAGTATAGTTTCGAGTTAAGAATTTTGCTGTATGGGAGCAGCTCTTAGTAAATAATTCCCTACCAATCGCACCAAACACACAGCAAAACCTTTCTAGCTATAACTCCTGGTTTGTCCACCATTTCCGCCGGCTCATCGCGTTTCGTTCACGGCGGTTTTGACGTTGTCGTAAGTGATTTACTTTTCATCGTCAGTCACCAACCGCTTCAGAAATGGTTCGATTACACTCGTTATACATCGCGCTTCTCCTCGTATCCAGCCTTATTCAAATGGTTTCATACGATTTTATTTTGGCAATTTTTAGCTCTTGGGCAATCGAAAAAGTGTTTACAGACCGTCGGACTCGACAATGTCCATGTTTTTATCGACATTTTCGATAATCACTATCAGACCTTCAGTTTAGATCCTCGATCACGTTGGACTTAAATTATTCGCACAACCTTGAAGGAACCCTACATACAATCTTGAGGTGTTTTATCGCACGATAGTTTGCGCAGATTGCAACCAGCTTAGCTGGAAGACCATAAGCTTTCTTTGGTTTTGAGGCTTTGATCCATCGTTCAACGTTTAGGGATCTATCGGCTATGCCACCGTCAGGTATTTCATTATTACTGCCTTTGAGTAGGTCTTCCATAAATTCATTAAACGTTGGCATTAGCCGTCAGATAATTTTTTTGGCTCTACATAATTTTGCTCCGGACTTGTAAGCTTCACACTTTTTCTTAGAGTTTTTAAGCATTATCCTTGTCGATCAGATTCCCACGCCCATAATACAGAAACACTACGTGCTCTATGTTTTTATGTCTGCAAGGGTATATCTCTTCACTCTTTATCTCTCGGTATCTTTTTCGCAGAATGCGCTTTGTGATATTTTCTCTTCAGTGTGGTCCAGCGATCCCCGTTGTACCGGCTCCTTAAACGGCATTGCCGAAAAACTATTTTTTTTTATTGACTTCTGAAGGTAAAGGCAGATTACATCCTTGTTCCCTTGTACCGAGTTGTTGATGAGCGCTCTCAGAGAGCAGTAGTGTAAGTGCAGTAAAAAAAAGTTGGTAGACTAGACAGAAAAGACACCAAAATACTTTTACAAAGAGGGATGTAGTTACAATTTTGACATCTAATCTCAATTTAACTTGTTGAAGGGCATTCTTCAAAGTTTTAGATTGCAATAATACATTTTGACTCAACAGTTCTCATTCTTAGACTGCAGGAGTATCATTTTTGTAATGGGGTTTTGTTTACAGAATTTTAGGGAAAGCTCTTAACTTTAACGAAGACTTGTCAAGCTCCAGAACTTCCCATTTCGAAACGAGCTCAGTTGTTAGACCATGATGACAGCTTTTCAAACTTTTTACTGGTTCTGAGTTCTTCTAGCATTTTCATGGATGGAATGTATATTCTATTGCACTGTGTTACGGGGAGCTTTGCCGTCAGTTTGCCGTCATGTTCTTATTGCCGTCAAAGTATTGTACTTTTCGAAGTAGGCTTTAACCTACGGTTTACAGAAAAAAGGTTTAAAAAAAAAATATGATTGGCGATAGTCCACCAACAGCTGATTAATCCTTATAAGATTACTTTGTCATTAACCATTTGTGAATTCCACTTCATAGTACGATTGAAATAAACGCCTGAAATTATGCTAGAAAGAGCAAAAAGCAACCGCTAAGCACAGTTCAGCACTGTTTCAATGGTTCTTGATTAAATTTAGAATTAATATTAATAAAAATTAATTTTAAAAGTCAAATTTTAGATTATAAACGCCTTCGGTGAACTTAAATACTCGGTGACTGTATTACGCGGCATTCTTTACCACCTTAATAGACACTTAAATCTATGCCAAATATTTAAAGCTTAAGTTTCAAAGTTAAATACCATAAATTAGTTGAAAAGTCCAGCAAACAAGTCGATAAAAAAAATAATTTCAAATATAAAATGCCATAACAATTAATTTTATAGCTGAAACGAAAAACTTCTGCAAGCGCTTATCAGTGAGCTAGTAGCTTAGAGTTAGTAAAAGTTACGGCAAATGATAGTTAATGAAAAGTAGTAACACGGAAAAAAGTAGTAAATAGAAATTAGTAATGGCAATTAAAGGAAAGTTTGAATGCTACGGAAAGTAAGGAAAAAAAGAAATAAAAGAAAAAGCAGAAAACAAAAAAAAAAATGGAAAAGTTAAAAAACATGAATCAATGTTGAGAAATCGAAATACAGAGTAAAGGCGAAAACTAGATGTAACTCAAATGCAAATTAGAAAACAAAGTAATTAACAGAAGTAGCAGGTATGAGTGAGAGCGAAAGAGCTAGGAAGTGAAAGAGCTAGGAAGTGAAAGAGTAGTGCTTTTTTTTATCAGCCAACATTAAGCCATTACCACAATATTAGATAATTTGCAACACGCACATTTCGTAACCGCTTGTGCTTGGGGCGCCTAAGTGTAGGCTACAATTTGTTCCCTCTATTTGCCATGCTGAACATAGATAACTGGAACGCGCGCGCTAGCCTCCTGCACCGATTACTTTTGCTGCTTAGTAAAGTTTCTAAGGTTTTGTATTATGCATTTGTATATGTTTGAGTACGTGTTTGTAAACCTTTATATTGAAATTAATAAAAAAAAACGTGTAATAATAATAATAACAGCGTCATAACTCACCGTTCATAATCGGGTAATGGCAACGTTTGTTGCCCGGTGACTTGTGCGTAATCCGGAAGTTGGTCCTTTGTTGTGCAGGCGCTAGCTTGACGCCATACGCCGCCCGTTGGATCGATCCAAACACCGCTAGCGCCATTCAAAGGTAGTGTAGGGAATTTTCGCACGGCACCAATTGCGTGATTGCCTGGAATAAGAAAAGTGTTCAAAGAAAAGCATCAGATGAGTAGTGAAGGAAAACGGCAAATTTATAAGAAAGTGGCGTGAGAAAGCGTATAGAAAGTGTACGAATTTAGAGATAGCATATAAATATATTATAGATATTTAAAATAGCTCTCGCCATACACAAGGCAGTCTATACGAGTATATGCAACGCTAATAGCAAATGCTTACACTTAAGCACATTTAGTTAGCCAAAAATCGGACGCAGAGTTTCTAAGTTATCTATTTTTTGCGTGCTTAAAGCCTTTTTGGGTATCTTTAGTTTATTTTCTATTCAATTGCAAGTGCAATACAAAACCAAAAGTGGGCGCACTGCAAATTTTATTAATCAGTTACTGCTTTCCACTTGCTGCCAGAAGGTTTTGAGGGTAAATAATGAATGTCCTTTCGTGGTAATATGCAGCCATATCTTAATCATGTCGCCTAATTTGTTAAAATAACTTTTTTTCCTTTTGTCTGTTTGTTTGCTTCATTATAATTTTATTTACATGCAAATTTGTTTTTCTCTTTTTTTTCTAGAAATTTTCTTGCTTCTTTTGTTGTGCACATAATTAATGTGATTTTCACGTGTACAGCCTACATTTCTCACGCAGTTTTGGTTTGCCAATTGTTTTATATACTAACTACTCCTTAATAAAATCAACCTTTGTGCTCATTGCGTTTTTGTTGCAAATTTATGTATGAGCCGTGTTTTGAATTACACATTGTTTGGTGAATTTATTTACACACACTCCACTGCAACAGTACGGTAGCCTAGGAATATCACTAAACGATTTCTTCCACTTTTCCTTCTTTTTTTTTGTAGGAATTTGTTTAGGCGCTTCGCTGGTATTATTTATTGCTTTTGTTTCATTTTTACCTCTTTTATCCGGCCGAGCTAAGCAAGCTCTTTAAGCAATTTCTCTTTTCATTTATTTATTTATTTTTGTTCGTTTTACATTCGTTTACGTTCGTGCAACAGTTGCAGCAGCGTAGGCAGGAAGTTTCAAGGAAATTTGATGAAATGCTTGATAAAACTGCTTAGAATAGCTGGGAAGCCGAATTTATCAAATTATATTACGCTCATTAGCAAATAGGGTTTATGGTCATAATTATCATATTCAGTTTTATAGACTCAGTTAGTATAATTTATTATTTAAATAAAGAAAGCGCAACAAAAAAATTTTTTTTTTCATAAAATTTTAATATAATCTTTAAATTTTTTTTTTTTTTAAATCCCTATATATTGGATGAGTGCATAAGTTCGTGCCCGATTTCAAGTGCAAACTAAAATTGAAATTTTTTGAAGAAAGCGCTTTTATTAATCAATTATGTATTCGCCATCATGTTCG